GAGATTAATTTTCAGTTATTTGTAGGGTCAAAGTCTCTTCACATGATTTAACTGTCTGTCCAACAGATTCAGTTAGGCATTCAAGCTTTGTACTTCAAACTAAACAGTGCACTATATTACTTATTCCAGTTTGGCATAAATAAGTATGGATTACCTTATGCAAACCATTCTAAAGTTGTTAGCTGCTTTACAGTACCAAGAGCTTTGACAGCAGCCAGACCCAGAGAATGGGCATGCTCCCTTCTCTTTTAGTATGATCTGAGACTTGAGTATAAGTGGCCTGCATGGCTGCTCTACTACTGTCTTTATGCTCATTGGTAAATGCACAATATTGGTTTTAATCTACAGAAAAAAGTATTAATTACTCCCGCTCTAAGATTAAATTGCACAAATAATTAATGCAGAAAAATATTATCCAGGAGCAACAGTCTTTATCCATTATTGTAATTACAGAGCATTAGGGAAAATTTTGCTGTATTTGACCAGCAAGTTTCCAGACCATGTTTTTCTCTTCTAAACTTATGTTTCAGTAAAAGGAAAATGCTAGTAGAAAATTTACTTTGAAAGTAAATATTAAATAACTGAATTTGTATATTTGATTCCACTTTGAATAAATTGTAACTTCTGCTCATAACTTCTGCTTTTAATTGTAACATTAATACACAGGTATTATTCTTATCAGATTTCTTTAGTTGTTTAAAATTAAAAACTTTTAAAAATAAACCCCATTAAGGATTTTCTTGACTATGCTTAGCTTTTCCTCAGCTCTTCTTGAAACACAAAAGATCAGAAAGATCAGCCTTAATAATCTTGCCATACAGCTCCTAGTAAAATGCATTTTATATTAAAATTAAGCAATAGTAAAAATTATCAAGATGTCTATTATGAATGCTTCTGTATGCAGACTCATTAACCTAAGTTAAATTAATAGAACAAGACAAAATGTAACCATGACCATTGACCGCTTGCAAAGTTCCCTAGTGACTTTTTGGTATCTTATGCCAGTCATTTCAAAAATTCCATTTTAAGACCACACAAAAGGCTCATTTCATGAGTGATTTTTTTTTTTTAATCATGTCTCATAGAACTTCTTCTTCTATAACCAGTAATATTTTCTGATGCATTTTGTGAAAATAATTATTGTAATCCTTTCCTCTAATAACAATGAAGTGAAATCTCCCATAGAAAGACATACACCCTAATGTTTATATTTAGTGATTACCTTCTTTGACAATTTAGCTGCTATCTGTAGAAGCAAAAATCAATACTTTATTTCTTCTGCAGAGCAATATCGGCTACTTTGCAATCTCCACATGTTTGCACATAAATATTCTTGAAGGCAAACTAAATCAATTAACATTTGTAGCTGTCCATCCAGTCCCTTTGCAAAACATATTATGCACTTAGGATGAATTCAGTGTAAATCATCATCCTAGCCACACAATTAAATACTATAAGCTTCCTTAACCCTCAGCTCAGACTTTCCTAATCTCTGAAAGAAAGCAATGCCAGATGGCCATGAACAACTGTTAAGAATCAGAGGGACACAGAGAAATACCTGAAGCTCTCAGTAATTCAGTGGAGAAACACCTTCTGTTCCAACTTACTGTTAGGCTCCACTTAGACAAATTTGCTTTCTACAAATCATAGGTGATTCTTCCCGGTTAACTGATACACATGCTAGTAATTTTCAAAAGCTGTATTTTCTTGCCCTGAACCAAATTCACAGACAGTGAATTTTTGCTACAACCCTTGGTCAGTTATCACAGCAACAGCAAGTACAAAGTGCAGAGAGAATCCACTGACTACTGCACTTCTCCATCACTTGAAACATACAATTGTACGTAAGTATCTGTGGGTACACATTAAAATAAGTAAAATACATCATATGTAAAAATAATGTGTGTAATATATAATATTCACATATAATTAGTTGTCAATCTGTATGAGTTAGCTGCAAGGCTGAAAGAGGAGTAGAGCTCATTGGCCCATGAGGCACAGATTAGACCCTATTTCTCTGCCTCAAGAAGAAATGATGGAAAAAGGTTCCTCTTTTCCTACAGAAGAACATCCTCTTGTAAGCCAACACAAAGAATCAGTCCAAACAATCATGCCCAGCATGCTGGGATGCCAAAGGGCACCTCCAGTGTTCATTTTCAGAGGAAGCATCTCACAAGCACCATTTTATATGGCAACAGTGTCGATGTGTCTCCTCATCTCTGAAGACCAGGAGCCTCATTCTGCTTTAAATTACAGTTCAGGAAATTTCATGTTTAAAAGTGAAGCTTCTCTTTTTAAAAATAAATCACCTTGCATTGTAAAAGATGATAGTCCCTGCTCAAGAGCAGGCCACAGCTTCATGTTTTTGGACTTGGGTTTCTTAACAGAAATTCAGAAGGAAGCAGTGAGAACGGGCAAACCTGGGAATGGAAAAAGTAGGTTAAGAAGAAAGATAGGACGGAAAGAGCAGGGAGTGCTTCAGGGCAGGGCAGGAGCAAAGTGCACTGGCAGAGCTGTGTGGGGAGTCCACTGCTGGGCTAGCAGGAGGGTTCAGGGCAGGAGCGCGAGTTGGTGGAGGTGCACAGCATCAGCTAGGAGCACAGCGTCAAACATTCACAACCTCTTGGATATATTCATGATGGAACCAGTGGAGGTTCCAAGTATGAAGCCAGATGTGGCAAACCACAGAAAACATATAGTGTAGTGTGCTTCATTCTAGTTGCATTCCCAGGAATCAAAGGATGATGTTGCTCATTTGAATGTCTCAAACAATAAAGCAGCACAGTCAAAAAAAGAAAAAAAAAGAATACAGCAAAACTGGAAGAATGCATGGAAACATCATTCTGGCTTGCAAAATTGAGTATAAGACAGCTACTGTTAAGAAGGGAGGACTTCTGAGCAATTTAAATCAGGCTGAAGGATCACATGTCTGTTGTAAACTACTTTAAAAAGAACCTAACATCTTGCATTTAGCATTTTTTAATAATCTCTCAGATTCACCAGGCCATAGCATTATTTTCATTCTGAATAGCATCGTTCACATTTTAAAAAAAGGCATTTTTAGAATATTGGCTAGTGATGTGGTGATAAAGTTTAGTAACAGAAACAAAAGTGATATAAGCCTTACAACAAAAGACACGGTAAGGAGAGTGTGAAGGGGATTAGGAGAAAAGGGTAAGAACTGAAGAAGCACAGGACACTAGAGAACTGTTCCAGATGGTAGGCTAGTTTTAACCTAAGCAGCAATGTGTTTGTACAAAAGTCCAGTGGGAGCTGAGCAGACAGAGATGAGCACACAGATGAAGTCTGAAATGTTCTTGTGAGTTCAAGGAATGGGAAAAAAAGGACTCTGAAGGTCTGATGCAGAGTCAAGAAAATTGCTGCTTGGGAAGAAGAAAAAAAACAAAGAAAGATGTTGCATCTAAGGAGGTGAGGAGTAAGAAACACCTACATAACAGATCACAGAGGACATGAGCAATGAGGCCAGATAAAAACTTTTCTAAAACTAGTCACCACATAAATATATGAAAAAAAAAATAGTTCAAGGTGTCAAAGTAATGCAGCACTGAGCCAAATAGCCAGTTTGATATTCATATGGTGTGGTTAAAATTATTTCTTCCAAAATTATATATGGCAACTGTCTAGTAGGGTATGTGTACAGAAAAGGAAAAAAAATTAAAAACCATAAGTGAACTTTGATCAGATGTTCTTCAGTGATCAGTTCTATCTTTCTATTTCAGTAAGATGCCACAAGTTGAGTAATTTCAGTCTAGCATTTCAGTCTATTACTGATAAAAGCTCACTGTTGCGTGAGCGGTTCAACACTGTACCAAATCTCCCATTAACTCTTGCTCTTAGAGGTTATTTCAGTAAGTGGGTCAAGATAAACAGACAACCAGCTAGTAAGGCTTCTAATTTGAACAATGATATCTGTACACCAGAGGTAGCTATTTGAACTGGACTGCTAATGCCCCTTTTTCCAAAATAAATCCCAGGATGGTGTTTTCATTTATTTATGAAGCTTACTGTATGTTTCTGGATCACAACCATGAATGGTTTTGTTCACGTGCCCAAGCTTTGTAACCACCAGGAAAAAAGTGACCTTTGCTTTCAAACTAAGCAAACCCTTTCATATTGGGTTATATTCATGAATACTCAGTACTCAATGAGCCTGTGATTTCCTTAAAAATACTGTACTGAAGGATGCTTAGCTGGCAGAAGACTTAACATTTTCTCCCTTCCCTGTTGTGACAATACTTTGCTCTAAGTAGCCATTACGCTTTTAACTTGCTGGCCGAAACATTCATTGTTGCAACTCCTCACACCTCCTGGCTGATGGAGGAAAATCAATTTTGATCCCTGAGAAGCAAGTGCAAGTCTCCAACTTCACACACCAATGTGTACAATTGCAGCTGAAACTGAACCCATATTAAATCACCATTCCAGGCATTTTACATTTATGCTGAGACCTTAAGAGGTTAGAACATACATGATTTACTGTTTTTAATTGGAGAAATGGGACAGAACTTCCTTCAAATGAAAAAAGCACTTTGTCAAATGAAGTTTACACAAAGCAAATGAGATTTATAGTGACAATGAAAATATACTTTAAAAATTAACCTTAAGCTTTTTTCAAAACAAGTATTACAACAGAATGCAACAATCCAGCCACTGCAGGATTTTAATGCTACAATAATTCTGGTCTTCCTTAAAGGGCAACAATTCTGCCCTTTCTTAGATAACCCAGTTGAAAGCACATTAGAATAGCAAGTCTGAGCAATCAGAAGCCAAACTACAGCAATCAGGTAGCAATAAAGATACAGAAAGCATGTGTATTTCCCAATAGACACAAGTTTAACAATGAAAATATTCCAAGCAGGTATGAGAGAGAGGGAGGGGAGGAGAGAACTTACAGTACTGCTTCAAAGATGCACTATACACATAATGCAGCAGTACAGGATACACTAACAGATGAAGGCAACTGAAAAGGCAGTACTCACCCAAAATATTAAATTGAAAAGGAACATCATGTATTTCAAACAACACAGGCAGCCTCTTGCCATGTTGCACTTCTTAAATTCTAAAAGGAAAACAAAGGATAGATCCAGGTAAAAGACCACGTATTTGCTGCCTTTGGGTGCACTGTATTTTTCACTTTTTACGCCAGTTCCAGTCCCAGCGCCGGTCCCGGTTCCGACCCCAGTGTGGCTCTGTGTGCGTGATCCAGTTGTACCATAGAAAGCTCCTGCAGTAAAACCTCGACCAAATTGCCTCCCTGAGGTAGAAGGTTTAGCAAAATCTGAGTCTTTGCTATCCAAAGATGGACTCCGGTGAATTGAAGAATCCTCACTACTTGACTTCTCCATGATCTCTCTTTTCACAGTTGTCAGATTTAATGTATAGCATCTCTCAGCATTAAATGCAGTGCCTTGCAAATGCCACAGTGCGCTAAGAGCTGTCTGTGCTTTGCTTCTCTTTTTCTTCGTACATAAATCAGATAATCACTGCAGAATTTATTCACTGCATTGTTGCTGGGTTTATTTTTTATAGCAATGAAAGCTGAACTCTGTCTGTCTGAAGCATGGATTTATACATTAATATCCCGTGCAAGAGCATACTCATGATTTATCTTGATGAATCAGTTATGCAGAACTTTGATTTTTATTAAAAAGAGCCATAAGCTCTTTCTCTGCACTCCTAGTCTACAGTCCTCTAATCTATAGGCAGCAGATGGTCCTTGCATCCATTTCCAAAAAGCTTCTGCAGTACACCTGGGAGACTCTCCTCGAGCCAGAGCACTTTCCTTGCTCTCAGCTTCCCTCTCTGTGTCTCTCTGACTCTCTCTCACACGCTGTCTTTTTTCTTTCCACCCATTTGCAATGTCTCATTCAGTAACCCGCTACCGGAGCGCACTCTGTGTTTCACTGCTGTTGCCGTGAAATCATCAGCAACTGCAACCACTGGGCATTTCCCACAGAAATCCCTGACCTAACTATCGAGTAATAAATCCGCCCTCCTGCTCGCCCCTCCCCTCTGCTTTCCATCGGGCCAGTTAGCAGAAGCCTTCTCCTCCAGGACACGCCTCCATGACATAATATCTTTAATAGGATTAGAATTACTCTTGACTATACAAGTGCACAACAGAAAATCTCTTTAAATGTCAAGTACTGTTTAGCTGTTTATGCGCTAGAACCGTTAGGCAGTGATATTCCTTCGATGCAATAAAATACAGAAAAAGTATGGATTAGATAGGTGCTAACCTCTCTCTGCTCATTAACAGTCACTTACATTTTTTTCTGGCTTAAACAAATCCCACGGGACAAGCAATGAGAATAGGCTAGCACCCAGCATACACTGCTTAGGCACACATCTCAGCTGTACGTGCACATAATGCAGCACCATCACCTGTGATATAATTAACCAGACAGAGCGGCTGCCTCTTACGAGGTCATCATTCAATTCTTAAAACTCCCCAAATGTAAGGGGATCTGAGCCTGCAGCTCTTTACACGCTATTTAACAAGTACATCAGAGATTCCTGTTGTGCACAGCAATAAGCCATCTTACATCACAGGTTGTCTGTGAACTAGAAACACTGACCCAAATGCCACATTTCTTTTCCACAGAGGAGTGCAACATGCCTGCTAGGACTCTGAAACAGGGAGGGCACGACTGTGCACGTGTGCCTGCGCATATGCATGCGAGTGCCTGGAGGGGAGGAAGAGAAGCACTTCAGGTCACTACTCCCCATACTTCCAAATTTGTCATTTTGTCATAAGCACAAAAGCAGCACACCAATGGCGCAAAGTGCTATAGCAGACTTAAAATGCAGGTTATTCTTTTCTTTCTGTAAAGAAAGAAACCACAGTAGGAGGCCCCTGTGAAGGAAATACGGCTACCAGGAAAAGCAAAATTTTATGCAATTTTCAGCTGACCCTTCTACATGCGCATTAAAATGCACTGTTCATGGTTATCTCCAGTATCTTTGAAAAAAGACAATGTAACATTTATTCAATCTTGCATATCTATGGCCAAAAGCCTCTAAGGATTCTGTAACTTTTATGTAACAACATCAGAATCAACACCCTAAAGCAGTGCTGTACCTTTCTTGACAGCCTTTTTTCTGCTGAAAGATCCCTCCATCAATAAAGTACATTAAATACCCAGTATTTGGATGTGTAATATCTCTCTCACCTTTTCTGCTCTAAAGTAAGATTTTAACAACAGGCAGGTCCAAGCCCATATCAACAATGTTTGTTCACTTTGCTTTTCAAAAGTAATTTCAAAGCTCCCTGCATCAGATGTGTCTGTCAGAAAGACGACGGCAGGATGACTGCTCAGCACTGTGCGAACAGAAAAAGCTACACACAAAACTCCCAAGTAAAAAAAGATAAATTAGCCATGACCAAAGTAGAATGGGCATTTCTACACATGTCTACAGTGCACGTACGAACTTCACCATAAGCAGTTATCAAGCAGCAACCTTCTCAGCAAAACACATGGAAGCAACTTGCAGGTCACAGCCAGGTACCTGCCTCAAACACCAGAGCCTGCAGGATAACTCACACTGGAACACAAGGCAAATGTCTGAGTATGAATTTAGAAGACTCTTCTTCTGTTTGAAATTCACTTACTGGAAGTGTAAAGTTGTACCACTGCAAACCAATGCTGCAGCTAGATATTTTCAGCGGTATTCACTTGTCATACAAAACTGAGCTCTCAGCCAAAAAATTGTGAGAACACACAAGTACTTTAAAGCATTTTTAGCTTTTTAGTTTTTCCACCCTTTGGTTTGCCATAAAATTTACACTGACTTAGACTAGCTACAGAAAAAAAAAATTGCTGTGCACTTGTGAAAATTAGCGCAATATAAATATTTGCCTTCCCATTGAAAGTACATGACAAAAATAATTAATCCGCCCTCCTCAAGGTTAAAAAAATTAAAAGAATATTCTGTAATAAGCAAAAAAATTTCACAAATACTCTCATAGTTTGTAAATAGTGGAAACTTTTTACTGATGGTTAGGAAAAAAAAAAAGCAAACCAACTATACCTCCAACCTTTTTTTTTCAAGTTTTCATTATTAGAACTTAATGAAGTTTTCCTGTTTTCTATTTATACCTCCAAATACTGTAAAATACTGGTTTACTGCACCATTACCTCTAATGTACCTTCCATTAAGAGATCTTCATCATCGGTCTACAGCACAGTTTGTACTTCAGAACAGTCCCAAGCAAAGACACATATAAAGTCAACAGACAGCTTAAAAATCCAGACCTGAGCAATGAGCAGTGGGGAAAACACGGCTCCAGATCAGCCTCTCCTCCTGCTGTGTAGCAAGAAAACATATGACTCTCTTATGGTTATGCTGTGGCCACCAGGGAGACTTTACAAGCCTCAGTAACCTTCAGCCACTCGAATTTGCAGCCATGGTGTATCTTTACAGATTAGAAGCCACTTCCTGGTGCTGCAACTCCAACTCAGTGCTCAGGTACTCAGTTAATAAACCACACAGGGCTGCTTACTTGCTGAAAAAATAGATGGTGAAAAAGCTGTAAGCAGTCCATCCAGCTGTGTTTTGACCAGCCATTGCACTCAACTCTGCCTCTGACTGAGACTTCAGCAGAAGGTGTTGCTGCGTGGCAACAGCACCTTTCAGGGTCCCACTCAACAGCACAACCTCAGCGTGAGGACAAACACATTTTGCTTCACTACAGATCTTAACTCTGTTTAGTAATCAGGGCATGAAAAACATTCAAAAGCTCACTCTGTACTTCATTAATGTTTGATTACTGAATCACAGAATTTTGTTGCTGAGTGATGCCTTCACATCAAGAAAATAATTTCAGTCCCACGTGTATATGCCTGGGACAAGGCAATAAACAATCCTTTGCATTTAAATGGCTCTTCCAAATATTAAGGGTAAAAATGTAGGCCACTTTCAGATAGCAGGTATGAAGACTGATGTCATGATTCAATTAATGGGTGTAGCCAAAAAGTGGAAAGGAGGAATATTATTAATATGGTCAAAAAGCATAGGCTGGCTCTCCTACTGAAACTGATTTATTTGGCTCCCTCCTGGGAATAGTCCACCATAGTGCCCAAAGCACACATCCCAGCATCTTCATTTCTTTGTGAATTTCACAATTTTTAAAAAATTATTTAATCTTTTTTGTCAACCTGTAGTTTAATCTCACCAGAGCCTCAGTGCCAATTACACCCAGCTACAGTGTTCCCGAACCCCTGTTTGTTTCTGCCCTCCTCAGCTGTTCTTGCACAACTGGCTTGAGGAATCGTGCTGCAAAACAGGAAAAGGTGACCAATTTATAAACATATTTAGAAACACAGATTTTAAAACACCTAATACAGTTATAAAAGGTACCTCAGCAATATAGAAAAAAATGAACTTTTTCCCCCTTTCAAAAGTCTCAAATCAATTTCACTTGACATTCCCCTTCAGTGAGATTGCTGACCCAGTGAGAGGGAGAGGGATTACAACAGGAAAGAACAGGAAAAAATACTGAAAGCTGAGCAAAAATATCTTAGGCTTGTTTTATGTCTCCCATGATTCCTGAAAATGAAATATGAAACTCTATGGGTTTTTAAAAAGGAAAAACTCCAGTCACCATGGTACACAAGCCATTTAACACCTCATTATATATTTTATCTTGCAATTTCTATTAGGTAGGATAATGCTACTGTCACTATTTTAAATATGGAGAATTCGAGGACCAAGATGTTTGCTGAGGATGAATAGGAAACTGCTGGCAGAGAAGCAAACCAAATCTGTGCCTCACACATCTTCAGCTAGCTCACTAACCACTGCACCATTCTCAAATTAATTATTTTTCAAATCACGAGTTTTAGTAATGCTGCCCCATGACTTCAGAACAATACTGAGCCCTGCAGAGAGATGAACAAATGCATATGCTACCATGTGTTGAAAGGATATGGTTCTTAAATTCAGTCTTTTCTTTCGAATTGTATTGACCAGGAACTCAATTTTACAAGCCTTCCTCAGGGTACATTAGATAGGCAAAGAACAGAGATTGCTGGGTATAAACTCAGTGACTACATCTTT